GTCAAGCAGGAGAAAGGAGGATGCACAGGCCCCTTTGGCAGATATGGCTGTGCTCACGGCTGGGGGCCAGTGGCCAATGCCACAGCAACAAGCCAGAAGCAATGGCTTCTTTTCCTTCTGAAGTGGTGGCCTGGCTGGGTCCTCCTGCTGGAAGTCCCCATTGGTGCTCCTTACTGGTGGAGACTCCCATTCTGAAATCCTTGGCACCACTCAAGGAGGCTGGATCGGGTCAAGGGCATCCTCGTTAGAGAAATTCTGGGCTCCAAGTCCAGTTAGTGTCCAAGTAGACCAGTCAGCAGCTATTTAAGACACCTCAGATGATGGATCAGGCAGCCCACACACATTTCCTCTACCCCAATCCCCAATTTAGACTGAATCTCAAGGAAAAAAAAACTTCACCGTTAGAACAGTGACACAGTGGAATAGGGAAGTGGTCCTCGCCCCTACCTTGGGCAAATTCAAGAGGAGGTTGGATGATCACCTGTCTGGGGTCTTGTGAACCCAGCATTCATTCCTGCCTGTGGCAGGGGGTCAGGCTAGATGATCTGTTCAGGTCCCTCCTGACCCTAGCTACTATAAAACTATGAAGATGCATAAGAAAGTTGTGGACTCTCCATTGCTGGAGGTGCTGGACAGCCACTGGTCGGGGATGATCCAGGTGTAGCAATGCCTATGTTCTACCATGGGGATTTTCCATTGCTGGTTGCCCCCTCCCCACCTTTCTGCTACATGTGTCCGGGTTTTTGCATTCCTCAGGGGCGCTAGGTTTTGGCTGCAGCCCAGGCTGGGGATTTTGCCTGGGCTGTGCCAGTGCTGCTGCTGTGACTTAAAGCTGGAGGTTCCTGGCTAGGGAGTCTCCCCCCTCCGTTCAGGGTTGGAGCAATCACCATATTTGGGGTCAGGAAGGAATTTTACCCAACTAGTGTCAGACTGGTATTGGGGGAGGGGGGGGAAGGTTCCCTTCCTCTGTAGCCGGGGGCACAGCCTCTACCTGGAGCTTCTTAAGCATATGTTAATAACCTTTCATAGAAGCAGGACACTAGCTGCTGTGGTCCCCCTGCTTTACCTGTGGCAGGTTTGGGTGTCAGATCTTATAGATTCATAGGTGTTAGGGTCAGAAGAGACCTCAATAGATCATCGAGTCCGGCAGGGAAGAGTGCTGGGTCTAGATGACCCCAGCTAGATGCCTATCTAACCTCCTCTTGAAGACCCCCAGGGTAGGGGAGAGCACCACCTCCCTTGGGAGCCCGTTCCAGACCTTGGCCACTCGAACTGTGAAGAAGTTCTTCCTAATGTCCAATCTAAATCTGCTCTCTGCTAGCTTGTGGCCATTATTTCTTGTAACCCCCGGGGGCGCCTTGGTGAATAAAACCTCACCAATTCCCTTCTGTGCCCCCATGATGAACTTAAAATCACTGCCACACAGCCACCAGTGCTGGTATTGTGTTGTATCAGAGTTGACAGTAGTTTTACTAAGAGGTTGGACAATGGATTTGTACATGATGGTTTGGACAGGGCTGATCCTGCCTCAGGCAGGGGGTTGGATTAGATGTGACCTCTGGAGATCCCTTCCAGCCCCATTCCCCTATGGTTCTATGAATTCCAAAACCATCACAAGGTGAAGCCAGCAGAACGCTAGGACTGACTCTCACAGTAAAACTCATCCCACGTTGGCTCAGCTACATGTACAGAAACAGTTCTTCCCTCCTCTGCTGCTCCTGGTTTACAGATAGTAGCCGAATGCCTCTTTTTATGGCTCAGTATTCAGCAGCTCAGCTCTGCCTAGCACTTGGCATGCAATACTGAGATGACAGGTTCAATGAACTCAGTTGGAACAGAGAGTCTTTCCCTCCCAGAAACAATTTCACAATTTCAGGATTTAATCTTTATGTTCAGGCCTATTATTTGCCCCTCAGTGTCCCATGCACACGCTGTGCTGAGCTGAACTCAAAGCTAAAGGGCGAGGCACTGCCACGTGGCTGCCCTTTGAGGCAGAGAGCCCAAAGCAGGGCGTCACCTGCTGGGGAAGGACAGGGAAGATGCAGGAAGGTCTTCTCAAGGTAACAGATCTCGCCTTACCTCCCACAATGAGGTATGTGTTGGGGAAGAGGTTCTTAGCTTGCATCAAAGCCCGGGCATGTCCGGAGTGAAACAAGTCGAATATCCCATCAGCGTAGACCCTGACCGGCCGATCCACTGAGCACAGAAAGAGATGGGCAGTTATGAGCAAGCAGGCCAGGGACAGCAGTTTTTAGTCATACCTTACTGCATGGGCTTGGCTTCCCAGCTGGAAAGATCTAGCAAGGGCTGTCGCTACAGAAATGACTGTTTGAATGTGAACCTGGGTCGGCACGCGTGTGGCCAGGGCATGGCGTGGGGGCAATGATGTAAAAGGAACGCTGGGGACATGCAGACGGCAAACCCCTCAGCCCCTGGAAAATCAAAATGCAACAGCGACATCCTGCTCAGTACCTGGCTACTCAGGCTGGCTTGTTGGAGATGCCAGAGTTGTTTATGAGCTTCCCAGGATGAAGCCTCAGGACCTTCCCAACTTCCCACCTGCTTCAGTTCACTTCTGTATGCCTGGAGGTGGAAGCTCACGATAACATCCACATCTTTGGGCTCCAGAAGATGGGCCAAGTCTCTTTTGAACCCACTTAACAGGACTCCTAAAATCAGCCAGAGGGGGCTGCTATGGAGTCAATTCTTAAACTGCCTGCTTCCGTGGTGTGCAAGGTTGTATGGTAAAACCCAGCTGGGGGATCATGGGAAGCAGCTAGGCACAGTACTCCTAGGCTGCTGGATCTGTTGGATCACTCCCTGCCCTAAGCCAGGGCAGACCAGAGCTTTCCTTGGACAGAGGCAACCATCAGCATCAAGCGACCAGCCAGGTTTCCACAGGGCAAAGGCTGGAACCTCTATTCTTGTGTCAGGTGCTGGGACTTTCAGAAATTTCTTTGGGAGACGGCTAGCTGGGTCTTCACACATCACAACGGGACTAAGCTTGCTGCTAGTTGCTCTATTGCTGTTTATCGAAAGAGGTGCAGGGGTGCTAGCATTTTCATTGTGGTGGTAAAGGTGTCTCCGAGATGGGCTGGTAAGACAGGGGGGAGGATTGATGCTCCCTGTAGGGGTTGCCAACACCACGTGAAGTAAACCGCTTGTCTAGACCTTGTTCCTCTCTCACTGGCTCAGTTCTACTGGGAAAACTGACTGTAAAAGGAGCGCTACTTTCATCCCGAGGGGCTGATCTGTTGAGCTCACTGAAATTCCTTCAAAGGCTGTGCTGCATTTCACTGAGCATTTCCAAGCTGGGATGCTGACCTTGTGTGTTGGGGCTGGCTCTTGGAGTCACTTGCTCAGGTCAGGCTATTTTTCTTGTAAATGCCTCCCGTCTCTGTGACACTGGTGGTGCTCTCAGCTACCCCTGGTCCTAGTGTACAAAAGATGCTTAGCCCTGACGCTTTTTTGCAGCGGTCTCTGGCTTTGAAGGGACTCAAGCAGGTGGTTGGAAGTGTTTACTGAGACTGCAGGTTGGTTGGATGACAAGTGACCTCACTGTGGGAAGAATGAGGCACCTGTTTCAGCGACAGGTGTAGGCACTGGTGTAATCCTAGTAACAACAGCTGTCTTAATCACTAGGGTGAGTAGGGCTACCCAGCCCAGGAGAATGCTCCCCTGCCACAACTAAGGCTGAGTTGGGGGCAGGAGAAATCAGATATGCCCAGTTAGAGCATCGGTCTGCAATGGGGGTTACTCACACGGGGTTCCTCTCAGCGCCTCCTCGAACGTCACTCTGGCGTATGGCTTGCTGTAATCGATTTCGATCTCATCCGAGAAGGGGGCCGGTTCCCGCAAACTCTAAACAAGCAGAGAGAGAAGAGAAGCTCGTAAAGCCCCCTCCCCAGGTGAGCATGTTACCCAGCACGGTGAGGAAACTCTGATGTCAGTGATGAAGTAAATCAGCTGTGTCCCTATAAAAACTTTGTGCAAAATGCCTTCAAGGGATTTGCTGAAGCTAATCCTCCAGGCAGGCCCTGGGGGTGACTATCTGCTTTCTATACAGATTTTCAAGAAGCATCTTGATGCCCACCTTGCTGGGGTCATCTGATCCCAGCACTCTTTGCTGGCCAACTGCAGGGGAGCTGGACCCGATGATCTTGTAAGGTCCCTTCCAGTCCCCAACATCTGTGAATCTATGAAACCTTAGGAGGGAGGGAGCTGAGCAAAGGTGAGGTTAACTCATGCCCCAAGTCAATGGAAAGGCTCGAGTGCAGCCCAGGGGCAGATCCACTTCTATGACTCATAACAGCTCCATTGAGCTCACTGGAACGATGACGGTGTGCATCAGTAGAGGAACAGTGCCAGGAGGCGGAGCTGCTGAGCCCTCAGTGCAAAACTCCCTTGACTGGTCCGTAGCAGGGAACAAAAGATTACCCCTTCTTCTTCTTTTGCATGGCTGACTTGATGCAGTTTAGAATGAGTTAATCAGTCTAATGCTCTTGAGGAAAGGGAATGCATCTCTGCAATGTCACTGTCAAATCTGTATCGAGGGCAGAGTGTTGTTATGTGGTCCATAGTTTGATCAGGGTTGCCACAGTCACATCCTGCAGAGCTCCTAATACATCCCTGCTCTAGCATTAGTCCTGCAAGGGACAAGCAGCAACACCTGTCCCCGTACGACCCTAAGGAGTGGTCTGAGGCCCCAGGGAAAGCACGCACTAGTCCTGGGGGACCAGTCAAAGCACAAAGCTAGGTGGGGAGGGTGGGAGGGGGGTGATGGAGCAAAGCTGTCATGCTTGCTTTGCAAGAAGCAAATACAAACACTGCTTCCCTCCTTGTCTTCTCCAGACACAGAACATTTTACTTGGCTCTGATCAATACTGCAGCTTCTGTGCCACTCACCCTGCTCCCCACCCCCAATTTAACTACTCGCTTACGAAGGCGCGGCGGGACATTTTTGCTGGGATTCCATCCAGCTCTGCTGCTCCGTTGGGTCCTGGGCCTTCTTTTCTTCTCTTCCGGGAATTCAGCCTGGATGAGGTTGGTGCCTCCATCTTCTTGGACGTGCCTGGCACGTCGGCTGGAGAGACCTAGAAGAAAGATACAGAAGAGGAATAGAAGTATCTGATACTTCCCTGAGGGAGCACTGAAAGACTGGTCAATAAGGGGCACCGGATGCAGAAGGTCAGCCCAAAGACACAGCCATCTAAACACAGGGTGTATTTGGCATCGGCTGTTAGAGCATCTTGACAAATGGTGCTTGAAGGGAATGCTGAATCACGGCTCCCTGTAAAGCAGCTCACAGTTGCATTAAACTGAGCGTCTAAGAATCAGCAGGCTGGAGAGAAACTCTCATGGCAGCCAACATCCTGCTTCTATAAAAGGATATCAACATGTGCGCAAGAGATCCCAGGTAGAGACCGTGCCCCTCACTACAGAGGAACATGATCTCTTGCCCCCCAGTCCGTACCAGTCTGACCACGGGGTGAAATACCTTCCTGACCCCAAATATGGTGCCGGTTTGAGCCTGAGCAGAGGGGCAAGACCCTCTAGCCAGCAACCTACGGCTTTACTTCCCATCATTAGCGAGAGGCGAACGAGGCTATTTTGGCATCTGCATGACAGGCCGGATTCAGAGCTGCCCGGTCCACGTGGAACGTTGCACAATTTCCCACTTCTAGTTTCAATGAAAGAGGATGCACATCCCCTCCTCTGCATCCCCACCCCCACAGACAGCTGGCAGGCGAAGCTAGGTTTCCCCTTGAAGCCCAAAGGGAGAAGCAGCCACTTTAAACAGGGAAACAAGGAGGACAAGACCTGCTCGTGAACTCACCCTTGACCAGGGAAGCAGCAGCTGGCTCTCAGCTGCCCACGTCACTAACTTATGGCTCGTGCTCTACTTACACCTTGGCACACGAGGGCGACAAGGGAAAAATCCCACTCCAGCTCCCACAAGAGTTAAAAGCGGGGAGCTGCTAATGGTGGGACAGACAGAGCCCGACTTCCTCCATGATGTGCCTGTGAAAAGGGGGGCAGGCTCCCAGCTTGCACTTCTGTGCTGCCTTCGGTCAGAGAAGCTGATCAGACACCCCCCAGTAAAGGCCTGTCAAATCCTAGTGCTCTGTGGATTGAGAAATCCTCCCCACCCACATGCCACAGGTGTGCTGGGACAGATACTGGGTGTGTCTCGGCTCTGGCTGGCAGGCGAACAGGCCATGCAGCAGAGAACAGGCCACGTCACAGGCAACCTTTTCTCCTACTCCCCTTCCCCCACCTGAAGCATTTAACAGCGTCTTGATTATGTCAGAGCTCTGGTGCCCCATGACCCTCCTGTGCAATCACCAGTCAGATCAGATAGGGAGGCCTCCGCAAGCAGAGCTAGAGAAGGGGCACGTGGGCAGCACTGCTGGCCTGGCACTTGGGAGCATTTCCAACTAATGCATGGAGCAATGCTTCAGAATAAGGACAGGCAGCCCTTGGCAGTCTTCCCTGCTGCAATAATATGTGCCTAGCTTATGTCACATCAAGACTAAAAATGGCTGAGGAGGTTTTGGACAGCAAGTGCGGCAGCCCCCGGACAGAAAGGGACCGAGGTCTGTCCAAGGCCTGTTCTTGGGCTATTATGCGTGGTCCAGAGCAGAAGAGAAGGAGGGAGTTCAGAGAAGCTGAGATGATCAGGGGGCTGGAGGAACACACCAGGTAGCAGGGAATAAAACGGTGCAGGAGGGGCAATGAACACCAGCAACAGAAAGCAACCGATCAGAACAGTGCAAAGGGAGACCGCAAGGCTTAACAGGACAAAGTTAATGGGGTAACCCAGGTGGAGCATGAGGGGGAAAAAGTCCATAGCAGTGAGATTTCCATCATCCAGTAAGTAGCAGCAGCCCGTCCTATGGGACCAGACCAGCTGAGGTACTGGGAAGTCCTGTCAATCTTGAACTGTCAACGAGCGGATCCCCCTCGCTCTTTGCTACTCGAGTCCCTTCTACAGTCCTGGTGCGTTAGTTCTGGCAAACGCTCATTCTGGGAAGGGATCGACTGATTCGTAGCACCGGCATGCTACAGAAAGCAGCAATCAGCCCCCTTCAAAAAGTTTGCAACCTGGGGCCTTGGCTCAGCAAACGCTTGTGCATGCTGGACTCAAAGCCTGCAGGTAATTCTGACTTTAAAAGACCTTCCTATGAAGAGACCAGCGTGCCTGGGGATGCTATCCGCAGCACAGACCAGCAGCAGGGAACACACGCTTCCCCTGTTCCACCAGGCAAGATCCCCCAGCCCCCACTTCAGCACCAGGGATCATTTCACTGGTGCTGCCTCATCAAGCAGTGCCCAGCTCACGCACACCAGCGACCCTGGGCTACGGTTCAAGCTAACGGACGTGACTGGAGATCAGCCGAGATGGTCTTCCATATGATCCGATACCCTGCTTCGCTGACGCCACTGACAGGGATGAAGGAGGTGACTGAGCAGACAGTCTGGACAGCTGATACAATAATCCCAGCTGGGGAAGACAAGTCACTGGCTTACTCCCGGGCACGCTTTTAACTTTCCCGGCAGGGGGCTGGAGCAAGTCACAAGAATGATGGATCGGCTCAGCTGCTAACCCGCACGCCCCTTTCCAACACCGGCGGGAGGACTGTAACAGGAACCCCCATCAGGATGAATCCGAAAGATGCCTGCTTGCTGCGCTGAAGCCGAAGTGCACAGTGATCGTGCCCTCTCCTACGACACGGGGAACGCTCTGCTGCCAGAAGAAAAGATTACGGCGGGGCCAGGAACCGTCTCCTCTTCTAGTACAGGATGATGCCGAGGGAACCACCATCCAAGTTTTGCCCTGACACCGACAGCAACAACCTCCCCGATTCTTCCCCCCACAACTACCGACTCCTCCTCTCCACTCAGTCGATTCACCTTCTTTCTTCCTCTCGCTGGGCTCCCTTCGGTCTCTGCTTTACCTACAGGAGCTGACTGCGCCAGGGCCTGTCTGCTGGGGA